TTAATCGATTAAATCTTTGATTCAATCGATTTATTTTACTTTTGATAATCTGCATCTATATCATTAATTGAAAATCAATTGATTTTATGGAAAATCAATTGGTTAATTTTTTCTAGGGCTAGTAGTGTATGCTTTGCTTCTGATTATTTACTGCAGATTGAGTTAAGTGCCTTTGCAATTACAAACAACTTCAGCTACTCTCTTAAATGTAATGGTTATCCAATAAATGCTGAAAGACTGTGATTGGAAATCAGATGTGAAGAAATGCAGGTAATCGAGTGTTACAGTACCCATTCTCTCTCTCTCTCTCTCTCTCTCTCTCTCTCTCTCTCTCTGTCTTTTACATCTCTGACACACGGAGCAAAACTGAGGTAATTTACTAAAAGACAAAATTGACTATTCAAAGTAGATGAAGGGTACGATTTCTCTCATTCCTTTTAGTATGCAATAGTTGATTCGAAAATCTTGTACTCCTTCTTGGAAAAATATTCTCTCTTTTCTGTATTCGGTTCATCTCTCAAACAACATGTTCAAGTGCACCAAATCTGGAAGGAGGAAGTTCAGCAGAGGAGAATCCTCAGCTGCTGTCCAAGAAACATCAGGAGGAGGGTGCATTGAAACCTGGTTCAATGGGAATCAAGAGAAGATGGGGTTATTCATTCATGAAATGAGCAGAAAACAAATTAATATACCCAAGGTTCTGAAATTCTCGTGGTTGGATGCTGAAGGGTTCAAAGGGGTTCGAAAGCTGCTGCAACACCAGAAACTTCAGAAGTTCCTAGAACTCAATGGTAGAATCTATCCTGACCTTATCAAAGTTTTCTTTACTAACCTGTCATTTAAAGGTTCTACACTCAAAACTCAAGTTAAAGGAGTGGAAATTGAGATTAATCCTACTGTTTGGAAAAATGTTGCTGGACTCAAGGATGAAGGAGTAAAAGTCACTAAAGGGTATACCTCTGATGTAGAAGAATTCAACAAAGTCCAATATTTTCGTTCTTATTTGAGAAATAAGCGTGACTCTGTGAGTTCCTTCAACACTGGGAAGCTTAACCTTGAAGAAAGAATACTTGCATTCATAGTGTCCTGGCAGCTTACTCCCTGGGGGAGCAATCATGCAGTACTGAATGAAGGTGACTTGGTACTGATGTACTGTATCGACCACAGAATCAGAGTAAACTGGGTATTTGTCATCAAGGATCATATGATCAAAGCAAAAAGGCTAAGTGATTTTAGGTATCCCTATGCAATCTTAATTTCTAAATTTCTAACCCATTTTGGTGTTGACTTAGAAGGAGAATTGTCTGAAATCGTTCGCCCCACAAATGAGATTAACAACTCCATCCTTCATAAAATGGGATTCATTAAGATTGATGGTGATTGGATTTCAAAAGAAGAAGCTGGGAGAGAAAAAGAAGAAGAAGAAGAAGAGGAAGACGATGAGAATACTGGTGCTCTAAGTGCTGCTGAAGCAAGACAAAAAGACCCTATGGAGGATGATATGGCTCAGTAGTCTCCATTGGAAATGATTCCTTATGTGGCACAACCTGACCATGGAACGCCTCTTTCACAGTTCGAACGGACTATGCTGCATCAAATGAATGAAATTCAAACAAATCAAAGGAGGCACATGGAGATGACATATGCTCTGCAAGCTTGCCAGCATCGGCTTTATGAACCAGATTTCAGCACATTGATAATCAACTGGAGGATATCTTCAACAGAATTGGAGACCTCCAATTCAATCAGGGTCCCTAGGATGGTGATGAGTGAAATTTCTTATGCTTTCTTTCACTTGTGTTTTTTTTGTCTTAATTTTGGGTACCTACATGGTACTTATGGCTTGTAATTGAACACTTTTTGATGAAGTCAAATAGGGTGAGAAGTATTCGCTTATACTGACACTACACACACATCACAAAATCATATGTCTCTGTTCTGTTATTGTTTCTTTTATGCAGGTGCAGTGGTTATTTGTCTCCATCAAATAGGGGGAGATTGAAGCACTTGTTGATTTTGATGAAGACATATAGAGTTTATAGAGTTTATTTTGTGGGTGTGTAGGTAGATAGGTTATAGGTTTAAAATTTAATCTCTTGATAGTTTCAGTAGATCTTGTGATAAGCACCTATAAATATTGTATTTCATATAATTTATCTTACTGCATGAAAAACCAATTTTAAGCCTTGAAAGAACAAACTGAGTTTTTCAATCTGTTAAAAAGCAATTTTAATCTGTTAAAATCACTTAAAATAGGAAATGTATATATACAGCCAAAATTTTAATTGATTGAATCGTAGAATCAACATGTTAAAAAGTTCTTGATGGTTTTTCCATATTAAGGGTTTCTCAATATTAATCTGTTGAATTGAGAAATCAATAGATTAAAATGTTCTAGCCATTTTTCATTTCAAAAGTATCTCAGATTTTTAATCTGTTGAAATCATGTTCAATCTGTTGAAACAAAGAGATGTCATTTTCTATCTTAAAGTATCTCAGATTTTTAATTTGTTGAAATCAAGTTCAATCTGTTGAAACAGAGAGATATCATTTTTCATTCTTAAGTATCTCAGAATTTCAATATGTTGAAATATATTTTAATCTGTTGAAACAGAGAGCTACCATTTTTCTTCTAACTATTTCAATCCATTAAAAACTTGAATTAACTGATTGAATGAGTTTTAAATGAAATCAATCGATTGAAATATCATTTTAAATCGATTGAATCTATCAGTCTCTCTCTTTTACTCTATAAATACAGTTTTAATTTCTCTTTCAAATACACAATTTGGAAAACGATTGAAAGCAATCTTGGAGCTCTCATATTCGTGTTTTTATCTGAGCATTCATAAACATTTCATATCATAAGGCGTTTTGATCAAGATTGTTGGAAGATCTTCAAGAGAGAAAGTTCTGAGTTAGAAAAATTGCTTATGGACTTCTATATTGTAAAAGTTGTAGTCCAGGTTTATTCTTTTCATATACTTGTACGAATTCTAATTGTGTAGATTGGGTTTGAATCTGCGCTGGTTACAGTAACTGGGTTTGGTTGCTGGGTGGTTTTTCAAGAGTCTATCTTGTGGTGTTGTAAGGTAGTTCTTGGGGTAGATTGGTGTATATCTACTGGTTTGTATTTTCACTTGGTATTAGTGGAACTTGACAGATTTGTCAAGAACTGGATGTAGCTCTTGGGAAGAGTGAACCAGTATAAACTCTTGTGTTGTATTTCTGCTTTTATCTCTTTTCATTTTTGGTTTATATTCTTGCTTTGTTTAAAACCAAATTTGCCTAATAAAAGATTGGATAAAGATTAATCATTCTTCCACAAAGAAAGACTGTTTTTCGAAAAAGATTTCTAAAGTTCAATTCACCCCCCCTCTTGAACTCAACCATTAATTCTTACATTCATTACCTCTTTGAACTCCTTAATTAGCTTCGTATTGCTTCCGGTGAATATGAGATCGTCGACATAGAGAGCGACTACCATCATATCCTTTTCTGATTTCTTTGTGTACAAAGCATGCTCGTATGAACATTGTTCATAGCCATTTTTCTAGAAATACCCATCAATTCTCTCATTCCAGGCACGAGGAGCCTACTTCAGCCCATAAAGAGCTTTTCCTAATCTCAACACCTTTTTCTCATCCCCTCTCTTCATGTACCCGAGTGGTTGCTCAACGTACACCTCCTCCTTCAGCACTCCATTTAGAAATGTTGACTTCACATCCATCTATAGAATCGACCATGGTTCTGAACAGCTAATGAGATCAGAAGTCAGATTGACTCCATTCTCGTGACAGGAGCAAATACTTCATCATATTCGATTCCCTCCTTTTGTCTATAGCCCTTCACCACAAGTTGAGCCTTGTAACGTTCAACCTCTCCCTCAACATTCATCTTCTTTTTGTACACCCATTTTACTCCAATGGGTCGAGCTCCTTTAGGAAGGTCAGTCAGCTCCCAAGTTTTGTTGCGTTCAATCGCTCTAATCTCCTCATCCATGGTTGTTCTCCACTTCCCATCTTGGACAACTTTCTCAAAACTCAAGTCTTCAGAGTCAGCCAGAAGACATACAACATGAACTTCATTTGTAGTGTCGTATATTTCATACAAACTTCTCATTCTGGGCTATTGTGGCTCTATTTCTTTATTTGAGGACTCAATAGTTGTTATTGTTGAAGGCACAACAATTTCTGAACTTGTTTCTTTTTCTACCGGGTTACTCCAGCACCAATGCTTTGTTTCTTCCACGTGAACATCTCGGCTTACCACCACTTTATTGTTAACAGGATCAAACAATTTATACGCTTTAGATTTTCCATCATACCCAATAAATATGTACTTCTTACTCCGATCTTCTAATTTAGTCCTGTGCTGACTTGGTACTTGCCCATAGGCCACGCTACCAAACACCTTCAGATGAGAGACACTCGGCTTCATACCACTCCATATCTCTTGAGGCATCTACTCATCTATCTTTGCATGTGGACATCTATTTTGCAAATAGACTGCACACTGCACCGCCTCTGCCCAAAACTTCTTTGGCATATTCATCCCTTTCAACATAGATCGAACCATATCAAGAATGGTTCGGTTCTTTCGTTCCGCTACACCGTTTTGCTGCGGAGAATATGGGGCAGTCAGGGAAACGTTTGATCCCATGTTCCTCACAGTATTTGTTAAACTCAGTAGAAATGAACTCACCTCCTCTGTCAGATCGGATTGCTTTGATAACTTTGCTTGTTTCTTTCTCCACTATCACTTCGAATTTCTTAAAAGTTTCAAACACTTCTGACTTCTCCTTCAGAAAATAAACCCACGTTTTCCTTAAGAAATCATCAATGAAAGAGATGAAGTATCTCTTAACACTGAAAGATTCTGGAGTTATTGGCCCACACAAATCAGTATGGATCACTCTGAGTTGCTGCTTTGCTCGACACTCAGAACTTCTTGGGAAAGAAGTCCTTGCTTGCTTCCCAATCACACATTCTTCACAAAACCTTTTTTTGTCCATGAATTCTTCTCCTTCCTTGACTTCTTCTCCATCCATAATAATCATCTCTCCCTCCTTAACTTCTTCCCCATCCATAATTTCTTCTTTATCCTTGACTTCTTCTCCATCCAAAACTTCTTCTAATTCCCTAACATCTTCTCCTTCCTTCACTTCTTCCCCAACCCAAACTATTTCCCCATCCTTAACTAATTCTCCTTCCCTAACTTCTTCTCCATCCTTAACTTCTTCTTTTCCTTCCTTAACTTCATCTACATCCCAAATTTCTTCTCTATCCTTAACTTATACTCCATCCATAACTTCTTCTCCTTCCTTAACTTCTTCTTCCTCCTTGATTTCTTCTCCATTTCAAACTTCTTCTCCATCCCAAACGTCTTCTCCATCCTTAACTTCTTCTCCTTCTTTAACTTCCTCTCTTTCCCTAACTTCTTCTCCTTCCTTAATTTCTTCTCCATCCAAACCACCTTGTCCTTCCATAACATCTTCTCCGTCCATGACTATCCTTCCTTGACTTCTTCTCCATCCATAATAATCATCTCTCCCTCCTTAACTTCTTCCCCATCCATAATTTCTTCCTTATCCTTGACTTCTTGTCCATCCTAAACTTCTTCTTCTTCCCTAACTTCTTCTCCTTCCTTCACTTCTTCCCCATCCAAAACTATTTCCCCATCCTTAACTTCTTCTCCTTCCCTAACTTCTTCTCCATCCTTAACTTCTTCTTCTCCTTCCTTAACTTCATCTACATCCCAAATTTCTTCTTCATCCTTAACTTATACTCAATTCATAACTTCTTCTCCTTCCTTAACTTCTTCTTCCTCCTTGATTTCGTCTCCATACTTAAATTCTTCTCCATTCCAAACTTCTTCTCCATCCCAAACTTCTCCTCCTTCTTTAACTTCCTCTCTTTCCCTAACTTCTTCTCCTTCCTTAACTTCTTCTCCATCCAAACCATCTTCTCCTTCCATAACATCTTCGAGGTCCATGACTTCTTCTCCTTCCTTGACTTCTTCTCCATTTTCGCTGCCGTCAAAAGAGGTGGTCGGAGCGACGCGATGGTTCAGACTTTTCCATTTTTCGCGTTTTTATGGGTGATGTTACAACGCCTTTAGGTTGTCCAATAACCGGGCTGAACCTAAGGCCGAGGTTTTCGAAAAGGCGCTCTTAGGTTGTCCGATAACCGGGTTGACCTAATAACTAATTTGAAAGTGTTCTTATGGAGTCGCCACCGATGTTTTTATTGGAAACATCGAAAAAGGAGAGAAAAGGCGTTGGTTTTTGAAAACCAACTTTGGTCGTTAAAACCAGAGTTGGTCGTTAAAACTAGAGTTGGGTAAGGGAGTTAGTTACGTGTGAGGGAAGTGTTAGTTCCCTTACGACGCCCCTTTCGGGTTCCCTATGATAGGCCAGTTATTTATAGATAAACTTTCAAAAAGACGCTTTTACCTTTTTATTTGTGGAATTAAAATAATGACTACATGACCCTAATGTCTATTACGTAATTTAATTACAAAATAAAGACAGTAAAAGAGAGGGAGAGAGTGAAGAAACCTCCAAAGCAAGCTTTTTGATTAATGCTCTTCAGAATAGGGTGCGTTTTTGCAGCCCTTCGCTCTTACAACGCCGAAAATCGTTCTCGAAACGCTATAAAAAGCTCTCTAAGACACTCAGAAACTCTGGAAATGCTTCGGAGGGACTCTAGGAGGAGAATTTGAAGAAAGTGTAGAAGGGAAAGTGGAAGAACTGTGTGAAATGAGGGGGGGAGCGCTCACTATTTATAGGGATTCACGCCTGTTAGGTCGAGATGGTCGTCTCGACTGACAAGGTTGAGACAGCCGTCTCGCCATTCGGGACAGTCGTCTCGCCATTCGGGACGGCTGTCTCGACTTGCAAAAGTGGCAAAACGGCCGTCTCGTTTGGCGAGACGGCAGTATCGACTTTTCAAGTGACCAAAAGGCCTTCTCGCCAAACGAAATGGCCATCTCGACTTGCATCAATGGCGAGACGGCCGTCCCGAAAAGCAAGACGGCGGTCTCGACTCCTGAAGGCAAAAATCCTTATTTTTATATAAAAAATCCTTCCTACTCTAACATGGGGCCTAATAGTCTCTCCTAGTGGCTTTTTAGGCTTCGTCCATCTTCGAACAGGAGGTCTTCTGCTCTTATTTTGAGGCCGGTCAAGATTTGGGGTCTACAGTTGGCCCCCCTTTACCTGACTAGACGACTGTTGGCCTGTCCTGCCAAGAAGATCGACTGGAGGGTAAAGGAGTTGACCCTCTTACCCAGTTACCCTTCGGATGTTGCGTCTTGCGGCGACTGATCTTCTGGGAGAAAGTGTGTTGTGCACCTCCAGGATACTCCTCCTGACGGTAGCCGATCCTTCGGTTGATGGGTATAAACCCCCCATCAGGCTGGTAGTTGCAGTCCACTGTGCGTCGGACTGGATGAGTATAAACCCCCCATCAGGCTGGTAGTTGCAGTCCGCTGTGTGTCGGACTGGATGAGTATAAACTCCCCATCAGGCTGGTACAGTCCACTGCGTAGGACTGGTGGTGGTGGCGGCTTACTGCTCAGGTGGCTCATGCGTCGGTTCTGTGAGAAATTCTCTCTTCGTTCTGATGAATTTTTTTATTTTTCTGGTGAAGTCCACTGGTGTGCCGGGGATTCTTTAATTTTTGGCTCTTCCGACAATCATCCAGCTTGTTGATTGCTGCGGATTCTTTATTTTGATCCTTTGGTAGTGGTCATCTGACTTTGCTGGTTGTCGGGGATTTTTTATGAGTGCCTCTTAGGTAGGCAGGAATCCTCTGGGGATTTGTTGATCTTGGTGAGGCCTCTTGAGTAGGCAGATATCCATTGAAAAATTTGCTGATTTTGATGGTGCCTCTGAGCAGGCAGATACTCCATTGAGTTTCTGGTAATGCTTTGAGTAGGCAGATGCTTTATCGGAAGTGAAGACTTTTGGCTGCATTTGTTTTGCCTCTGACTAGGCTGATATGGGGATGCTGACTCTTGCTTGCTAGGTCTTGCCTATACGTAGGCAAATGACATTCTGAGGATGAATCTGAAGTTTTTCCTTTGTAGTAGGCTCACTTGGGATGATCTTTCTCTTTTTGGTGATCCACCGGAGAATTGATTGTCTTCCCGGGGATCTAATTTTGATTTCCCCCCTGAGGGAATGGAGTTTTGACTCCTCCTTGTTGGATGTTGTTGGTATGAGATGGATTTGCCAATACTCTTGTTGGGTTTTCTGATTCCTTCTTTTTTGTTGATTTCCCCTTTTCTGAGGTGACCCACTTAGGGATTTTATTGATTGCCTAAAAGTTAGGATTGATTTCGCATTTTTTCGCGATTTATCTCTTTTTTATCGCGATTTTGAAATCTGGCTTTTTTATGGGGATAATGCGTAAGCCTTTTTACTTTTTAGTCTCTTTTTATTACGCTGGCTTTTTCCCTTCTTTTTGGGGGGGTCCACTAGTGAGGAAGTTTTCTTTATTTGGTGATCCACCAGGGAATTAGTTGACTTCCTGGGGATCTAATTTTTCTTTTCTAGGGATGGAGTCTTGGCTCCTTTGATTGATGTTGATGTGAGCTAAACTTGTGAAGCTCTTATTCCACTAGAGGATGAGAATCTCTTATTTCTTTTTGTAGATTTTTAGGAGATCCACTTGAGGATTTTTATTTGGCCTTCTCTGTCATGGCCTTTTTTGTCATCTGCTGGAGATGAAGGGTTTTCTTTTCTCTTCTTTCTTTTTGTTAAGCCCTTGATGGTTTGGACTCTTTTACTGTTGATGATGATGGGCTCTTGAAGCCATTATTCTCCATTGGGGAGTATGGAGGAGATTTTGGGTGAGTGTGCTCGATGACTCATGTAGTGGTGATGCTGAGTTGTGGGGTAATATTTATTTTGCCTTTGGAGTAGGCAAGGATCCGTTTGGGGATAACTAATCCTTTCCATCAGCTTTTCTTTTATGATGTCTGATGATTGTGCGCTCTTTTATTGGGTAGAAAAATGATGACTGGAGCTTTGGCTTCTGGAAGCTTCTTATGACAACTCGCTTTTTTTTCTTGAGGGAGAGCAATGTTTGGAGACTTCTTATATGTTCCTTCTTTTTCTGGGTAGAAGGATGGTAGTTGGAGCTCTTGATTTTCGGAAGCTCTTATTCTGCTGAGTCGCTTGATTGATGACTTGCTCTGTTTTCTTGAGGGAATTATTTGGAGACTTGGTCTCGGTGATCTTGTTTTCAATCACAAACATGGAGCTAGTCTCCTTATATGCATGAATGCTTTACGTTTTATTTATCTGAAGTGATTTTTATTTCTTTCATTTTTACCTTGACAAAGTCGTTTTGTGCGACTACTTGTGCGTGGATTCCCTAAATGCAATATATCTTTTTTTATCGATGCATCTGGAAAAGTGACTGGCATTCTCCTGCTAGACTTTCATGATTATGATGAAGGGCCCCTCTCTTTTATTCATTTTTTGGTTTAGCCCTATCTTTTGCCTAAACAACCCTTTTGGGGTTTTCGGTCTAGCGAGCTGCCTTAATTTTTGCCTAGGATATCTTACCGGGTTTTTTCCTTTTTTATGAATGCCTTAACTTTTTCCTAGACCGCCCTTTGCAGGTTTTCGATCTAGCGGGCTACCCTAACTTTTGCCTAAGAATCTCCTAGCAGGCATTATTCTTTTTATTTTCATTTTTCTTTCTCTTTTTTTTGAGAGATAGGACCCTATCATATGCATGCAATGTTCGCGATATGCATCCTACAATACTATTTCAATTAATATTTCAAAAGGGTTAGTCAAATGTGCGTTTGATTCTGACGCGCTTCTGACATTATGTGCTTTGTCGACATGATAGGTTGTACCAATTTTGTCGTCTTGATCTTTCCATGATCGAAGAATGATTGTGTTGATTGTAGAGCGACTTGCCATGTCAGTGTGCCCCTCCCTTTCCTTGGGGATGTCAATCCTCCTATTGATTACTATCTCCATATTTCCCTACTAATTACTAGAATGCTGTAGTAGTAAGGGTCAAAAGAAGAGAAAGAAGAGGATATTTAATTCAAAGGCTTGTGTTTTAGAATTGTTTTATTTTGACAAAAAATGGTTTTTGTAAGCACGGCTAACCAAGGTTGGTTAGAGTGTTTAGGCTAGTTTAAACAACGTTTTGTTTATGGAGTGGCATCTTATTCTATGGCACTTGCTATGACTGATTGACTTCCCTAGTCTGCCCTTTGGGTTTTCAGCTTAGGATGTTGTGCTATGTCCTAACTTTTGTCTAGGTTTCCTCTTTCGTTGTTTTGGGAAACCGAGCGGACTTTATTTTGTAACCCTAATTTCTGCCTAGGCTACCCTTTATGGTTGTTCGGGTTTCCTAGCGGGTTTACCCTAACTTTTGTGTAGCCCCCTTTGGTGGGTTTCCTACCGAGTATCTTGCCCTCTCTTTTTTTGGCCTTTAGCTTCTATGGGCTCCTTTTGATTTTTGTTTTCTGTTTTCTCTTTACACAACATTGGCAAAACACGACTTTATTATGATGAGGTAAAACCTTATTTTGTGTTTCTAGTCAATCAGTAGTGATGGATTTGACTTTTATTTTGGTTAATGGCGCAGTTTGATTACTTTGACGCATTTTGAAAACATTTGCTTAAACATGGTTATTAATGAGGTTTAGATATGAATATCAAGAAGAGAAGTAGATAGTAAGAATGCCATTCTTTGTAATTAATAGGGAAATATGTGCCCTACAATGCTCGTGGGTCGGGCTGGCCCCAAGGAGTAATCTCTAATAGTCATTGGATTTACAAACCCTAAGAATTAGAAGAAGAACACCTAATGACTAAAGTCGCTTTTGACGCTTGAACCCCTCTACTCGGGAAAATCTGATTTGAGGTGCAGAGGGGAGACATCCCTTTTCTTTGTGCAGCTTGATCCTTTGTAGGGTAATGCTTTAAAGGATTGTCTTTAAAATCTGGTGGCTCCCTT